TTAATATTTAAACAATATTTTTTAAAAAAAATACGATTATATTTAATACTTCAAAACAAATTAGTACTAAAAGGATATTCTTAAAAAATCCACGATTATATGTAGTACTTAAGAAATATACGGTATCCCGAACAAACATGACATATTTAGTACTTAAAATATATTTTCAAAAATTTAACGATTATATTTAGCACTTAAAAAATATATTTTAAAAAATCCTCGATTATATTTAGAACTTAAAAATATTTTTAAAAAATTCATGATTATATTTAGAGCTTAAAAAATATTTTAACAAATCAACTACTATACTTAGTAAGTAAAATATTTTTAAAAAGTCCACGATGACATTTAGTAATTAAATTTTTTTTAGAAAACATACTATTATATTTAGTACTTAAAATATATTTTTCAAAAATCCGCGATTATATTTAGTACCTAAATATTTAAAATAGTACATAATTTTTTTTTTTTTAAATCCATAATTAAATTTCGAGCTGGGCCGACCGTTGAATACCCTACAACACTATAATAAACGATACTGCTTATATAGGCGAGAAACTCGAAAGAATTCCACAAGATATTGTGACAAATTATAAAAGAAAACCATCAGGTTTCGTTCTCTAATTTTCGAATAATAGCAACTTAAACTAATTTGCTCATTTCCAATTTATTTGTAGATGTTGCACGTAAATGGTCTTCCTAGATCTGGAACCAATATTTCCCAAAGACCTATAATCTCTCAGAAGTGGCAAAGGATTAACATTTATTATTGGTTTTTGACTGAAACGCATCTATATGAGATACAGACATTTGACAATATTCTTTCACGAAATCAGCCTTAACGAAATAGTCAGAAGTGCTTCTTTCCTGTATTTGTGAATTCTCCAAAAAGTCACTGGAATAAATATTTTCGTATTTTGTCTACAAAAGTTGGTAAACTATTTCACACATTGAATATTTTTGGATGGCCATTCAAAACTATTTGGCTTTTGCAATGTCCGGTAACCTCCATTCAAATGCGCGTGAGGATCGGGCGATAATTACGACTTGCTGACAATTTTGCAGTTTTTTTTTTTTTGTCCATTTCAACCCCTAAATATATGGCGATCATCTCCAAAATGAGTAGGCTTCTATTCTGACCCTCATCTTATCCCCATGCAAAATTTCGTATGGATCGGGCCATAAATGTGATCTGTATATGATATCCTGAAATCCTAACTACTTAGTTTTGTTAGCTGTAGAAATATTACCAAATGTTTAATTCAAAATGAAAATATGCCAAAAATATGACAAAATTGAAAAAATATGAGAAAATTTTACAAAATCAATATTTTCATCTTTAGAGAGATATTTTTATGCGATTTTTTAGACGTTTTTTCTTTCCTGCCAAGAGGCCATTCTGAATTAATGAGAACTGTCGAAATCAGTTCAGCCGTTCTCGACATATAAGAGATCTTTCAAGCATATCTTCTTTGATAGACATATATATCGCACATATTTTGCTATATATCCGATTTGTTGGATGTTAACATCAATGTAAAGATCAGAAGTAACCTTGTCATGGCTTTGTGATTTCGCCGGGATTTAAAATATTCGCGGTTTAATGAAAAAATTTTGAATTTTTTCAACACAAAGGATATGGTCTATTTTACCCGCTAAATATTATCCGATTACCACCCTATTTGGTAGGCTTCTTCCCCGCCCTAAACTCTAGCTACATACGAAATTCCGCGTCGATTGGTCTATAATTGCGACATGTATAGCTACTGCAAAATCCGATATGTTTTCAGTATTTGGTCCATTTCAACCCATAAACATTTGGCGATCATCTCCAAAAGAAATAGGCTTCTATTCCGACCCTAACCACCTCCATTTTAACAGACAGACGGACGGACGGACATACATAGCTAGATCGACTCAGCTCGGCGAGCTAGGAAGATCCATATATACTTTCCTATATGGGAAACCAATATTTCGAGGTGTTACATATATTCTGGTCCAATCAAACTTATATTACCCCCAACACATAGTGTTGTAGGGTATAAAAATAGAGAAACTAATGACTGACTGAGAATTAACGCCTAACAAAACAGCTAATGCTAGAATCTTGAAAGTTTGTACCTGGGTCAATCTTGGTGTATTGACTTGTAATACGGCTGGTATTTTGAAATTTCGTACTAAAAAGGTTCCAAAAAAAACTAAAATGTACTAAAATGGAATACTTTGTATTGGACAAAAGGAATTAGCTAGAATTCTGAAATTCGGAACGAGAGTCACTGACAAAAGGTATTAGCTAGAATTCTGAAATTCGGAACGAGAGTCACTGATGGAGTACAGGATAGATGTACCAAAGGGTTTTTGAAAAATTTAGATTACGAAAAGTTCTTAATTAGTACTTCTAAAATGGTACCATTCGGTATTATATGAACGGATAGAGCTATAAACTTGAAATGTGGTATGAGCATCAATGTTGGAAAGTAAATTTGATATATAAAGGTGTAAAGGTTTTGGAAATGTGTACTAAATGTGCGAACTGTACTAATTGGTACTATATTTGGAACAACTTGGTTTAGGGAGAACAAATTAAGTTAGAATTTTCAAATTTTGTAATGAGGACCCTGTTGGTGGTAGGTTTGTGATTAAGAGGTGGTTTTGGAAATGTGTACAACAAGAGTACGAAATGTACTAAATAGTACCATACATGGTACAAATGGGTATTGAAAGAACAGATTGTGCTTGAAATCTGAAATTAAGTATTAGGGTCACTGTTCATTTGTAGCCTTAATATATATAGCTTGTTTTTGAAATGTTTACTATAATTGTACTAAATGGTACTATGCTGGGTATTGGGAGATGGGATGGATATATAATTCTGAAATTTGATATTTAGTTTACTGATGGTTTCTGTGTTTAAGATTTGGCGGTGTTTGGAATACCGTCCCATATTTATACGAAAAGTACTGAATGGTTTTAAAATGGGTATTGGGTAAAGGGAATCCTGAAATTTGATTAAGATGTCTCTGTTGGTGTCAGTGGTTGAAAGAAGGAGCTGGTTTTGGATATTCGTACCATAATTGTACTTAAGGTTACTAAATTCGCTAAGGTGGGAAATTACAGAGGTCACTGTTGGTTCCTGAGGTTGAGATCTGCTGTTGGTTTTGCAAATGCTTAATATTATTGTTAGAAAAGTGCTAAATGTGGTATTGAGTGAAGGGATGGAGATAAAATTCTGGCGGTGGATTACGCACAGTGGATTATAATTGTTCGAAAAGTACTAAATAGTACTCAATTTGCTATTGGGTGAAGGGTTAGGGCTGCAATCTTCAAATTTGATATTGAAGTTTCCGTTGGTGTCTGGAATTGAAATACGGAGGCCGATTTGGAAAACTGTACTAAATAGTACTAAATTTGTTATTGGGTAAAGGAATAGAGCTTAAGTACTGACATTTTATACAGATGTCACGCTCGGTTTGGTTAAAATATGAGGTGCTTTTGTTAATGTGGAGTGTAATTTTTCGAAAAATATTAACTGGTACTATATTGGCTGAAGGGATAGAGCTGGAATCCGATATATATATGATATTGAGGTCTCTATTGGTATCTGGTGTTCAAATCTGTTGGTGGTATGGCAAATGCGTAGATGTAGACTGAAACAATTCATGTTTTTCCAGAAGCTGTGCACGGAATTTCGTACGAGGTTAGAGTTTTGGATGGAGTAGAAGCCCTGTAGGCTGGGTGGCTGTTGTATAATATTTACCGGTATAATTAACCTGAACTTTTTTTAAGATTATTAGCACAACAAAGGGCTTAAATGGCCAGGGTAACAGCCACGGAACCAAAAATCGGCCAAAATGCGTTTATGCCTAAGAGGGCACGACTATAACCAACGTTTGTGCAATAATTGTGACGTACAGAGCAAGTTTAAAATCTAGTAACCTAACCTAACCATTAGTCCATGAAAAATTTCGTGAGGATCGGACCATAATTGCGACCCGTAGCGTGACTACAAATTAAGATGGACAGACGGACACACATAGCTAAGCCGACTCAGCTCCGCGAGACAGGAAGATTCATATGCAACATCGTTGAACCAGGACCAATATTTAAAAATCCACTGACAAACATATTCTTCAGAAATCCAGGCTTTTTATGTTTTTTTTTTTTTTTTAATATCCACTTATTTCGGTCTCTCGATCTTTGGAAGAACATTGTTTAAATTATTTTGGTATATTGGTCCATGAAGAAATATATATATTTTTTTTAAATCCACTTATTTTTGTTGGTTAGTCCTTGGAAAATATTCTTAAAAAAATGCGGGTTGGTCAGTTGTTTTTATAAAAAAGCAAGATATTTGGTATTTTGGTACTTGAATTTTTGATTTATTTATTTATTTATTTATTATTTTTTTTTTTTTTGAAAATTTCCAAATTCATTCTATTAGGTGGAGGGTAATCAAAGTTCGACACGGCCGAACTTACAGCTTATTTTATTTGATTTTCTAAAAAAATATTTTTTTTTGGCTCTGTTGAGGCCTTACTAGACCTTTCTGTAAATAAACCCCTATTCCTAAATGGACCCACTGTCCACCAATACCCCGACAACTTATTTATGCTGTACTTCTGTTGATGTTGCAGCGTTACAACCTTAACAACAGCAACATTGCACCCCCTCTTCCACCCCTTAACTTCCCTCACATGGGAGCATGTATGCAGATGATGAAGATTGCTATGTTTCTATTTCTTTACGGATTTTTTTTCGTCTGAAGTTTTTCTTCAACATTTTCAATGAAAGAAAAAAAAAACAGCAACAACAACAACAATGCTATTGTTATGGTCTTTTTTTGATGTCATAGTGTTATGCTAAAATTCTTGGTGTTGTTGTTGTACTCGATTGCTGGTTACAGCATTGTTTTGCGATGAACTTAATTTCAATTTGAAAAACAACAAAAAGAGTTTGAAATCAAACGGAAAACCGAAAACTAAACGCTGGAAAATATAAAAGACTTGGCCCGGCCAACAACAATCATCAGTTAAATTTTTCCAACAGAACCGTTCATATCTACATTGGCTCGAGGCTTGGAATTCTAAACGTGAAGGAGAGACAAAGGATAATTACAAAAAAATAGAAAATGCTTACAAAGGTGGTAAGTTGAGGGAGGGAAGGAAGAAACGAAGGAAAATAACAATTTTAAATTGCAAAATTTCCTTTTGCAGTTATCATTTCTGCTGGTAGGCTGTGTGGCCCTTTGCTCGGCCCGTCCCGGCTATTTGCATGGACATCACCATCACTTGGATTATCCTTACTATGGGCATCATGAGCCCCTGCATGTGGCCAAATATGTCCATGTCCCTGCTGCAATTTCCCACCAAAGTTCGACAGTAATACACAGTGCTCCGATTATCAAACCTGTCGTGGTGCCCGTTGTCAAACATGTTGTGCCCATTGTAAAAACATATCACCCGGCGCCCATTATCAAGACCATCCATCCCCTGCCATTGCACTATGATCCTTATCATCATCATTTCGATCATCATCATTTCCATTAAATCCGGCCCAGCAACGCGAAGAGAGATATGGATGGATTGAAATCTTTAAATGACTGCTCTAAATGTGAATAATTAAACTCAAAAAAGAAAAATTTTTATCTATTTAATGTTGTAAAGAAAAAATCGCTCACTGATCCCAAGGCCTAGTTCTGTCAAAGCAATTATTCAAAGGACGAATTTTGTTAAAAGTTGTTTTTTTTTTCCTTTCAAACTAATTTTCTATTTTTTAACCCATTGTTGATATACTAACCAAAATAATCATTATGCCACACATATGTATGTACATATATTTCATTATGTGAATATAGTCGAGTTACATTGCGTGTAATGGAACAAAAAACGACAAAAAATTAGATGAAGTGATAAAGAAGCGAAGTGAAGTGTTTTAGCAAAATGAATTGTTGTTTAATAAAGAACAAACAAAAATAACAAAAATGTGTTTTTTAAAAATGTTTTTTTTCGGCGACAAAATAACTAATTATTTTAAGGAATTAATCGAGCAACAAGCGATGATTTTTTTAAGAATATTTTTCAAAGACCAATAATCGGGGATTTTTTCCAATATTTTTAAAAATTAAAAGAAAACAAGTAAGCAAAGGCTATAGTCGTGCGGTGCCGACTATGTTATACCCTACAACACTACAATATGTTAGAAACCCCTTATGTCCAAATCCATATTGGAAGATTTTGCTTTTGAAACTAGGATTTTGACTAGGGACATTTGCCCAATATTTCTGCACTTCCCGGGCTGTTAGTTGTTGTAGTCCATTTTACAGCTAAATATAATCCAATAGTAATCCAAAATGCTAAAATTCTTCCCTGTCCTTAACTTTCTTCACAGACGTGTCGATTGCCTTCAATTGTGTGATTGGAAAAACATTTCTGTTTTTAGTTCATTTGATCCCCCAAATATTTTGCGATCATTTCCAAAAGCAAGAGACCCTCTGTATCTCCAGATTTAGACTCATCTATATGATTTGCTTGTCTACGATATTTGGCGATATTCGTCAACGAAATCAGCAAAAAAAGCCAGAAGTTCGCCTTTTGTGTATTTCGGATATTGCCTGTAAGTAATGCTGGTATTTTTCACACAAAATTAGTGATCCATTGTACACGCTGTCCTAATCTCTAACTTTATGCGAGATTTCGTGTCCTTTGGTTTCTATTTGTGACCTTTATAACGGCTGCAAAATCAGGAACATTTTTAGTTGTTGGTCCATTTCAACACCTAATATATTGCGAACATCCTTGAAAACAATAGGCCTAGCTCTTCTAAGCCCAACCCTACCCTTGTGAAAATTTTCGTAAGATCGGACGATATTTGCAATACTTATATAATATGCCCAACCTATGTTGTAAGGTGAAACAATATTTCAAAATATTATACGATAAAAAATATGAAAGTATAAAAAAATTTCACAAAATACTACAAAATCTAAATTAACATCATTATTGGCATATTTTTCCGCTATTTTTTTAGATTTTATACTTTTATGTGAAGAAGGCAATCTGAAATCGTTCAAGCCATTCTTGAGATATAAGCATTCTAACTAACATCCCCTTCCTTTGTATATACACATTGTATATATTTCGCTATATATAAGCGATATATTTACTATAGGCATCTACGTAACGGTCGGAATTGACCTGTTTGTCTATTTGTGATTTCGTCGGGATTAAAAATATTCGCGGTTTAATGGAAAATTTTACTTTTATTTAACACAAATGTTGTGGCCTATTTCACCCACTAAATATTACCCGATGACCTTCAAAAATTGGAAGGCTTCTGCCCAGCCCTAAACTCTAGCGCCATGGTAACGTCCGCTTTGACCTGTAGAGTAATTGCGACCTGTAGAGTAACTGCAAAATCAGGAATTTTTTCAGTTTTTGGTCCATATCAACCACAACAACCTAAATAGTATGCGATCATCTCCAAAAGAAATAGGGTTCTATTCTGACCCCACCTCCATTCTAAATTTCGTGAGTATCGGACCATAATTGCAACCTGTAAAGTGATTACAAATTAACATGGACAGACGGACGGACGGACATACATAGCTCGACTCAGCTCGGGAAGAGATAGGAAGATCCATACTTTCCTATGTGGGAAACCAATATTTCGTGGTGTTACATAATTTTTGGCCCAATCAAACTTATAATACCCCCGACACATAGTATTGTAGGGTATAAATAAGAATTTTTTTATAATTTTCAATAAGCGTGAATTTTTTATAAATATTTTTTGTTTTAAGTACTAGATAAAATCGTGAATTTTTAAAATATATTTTGAAATGCCCAATATATTATTTTTTAAAGGATTTTCTCAATTGCAAAATATAATCATTAATTTTTTAAAAATATCATTAAAAAAATTGGATTTTTTTTAAAATATTTTTTTCAAGCCCTTATAACATGCATTTGTGAATTTTTTAAACACATTTTTCAGGCACTTATAAAATTCGTGGATTTTTAATTTTTTTTAGGGACTTATTACATTCGTCGAATCTTTAACAATATTTTAAGGAAGTTAAGACCTTCGTGATTTTTTTTAAATATTTTTAGTACTACTTATAAAATCGGTGTTTTAAAAAATACTTTTTGCAAGAGCTAAATAAAATCGGGATTTCTTAAAATTTCTCAAGGACTAAATTCAATGTTGAATTTAAAAAAAAAAAAATGTCAAGTACTAATGCCGTGAATTCAAATAAAATAAGAACTACATGGTGAGAAAAAAACTGCAACAAAGTCAAACGTCATAATTTTTACATTTTTTTTTTTTTAATTTTATTGAATGAAAGCAAAAGATGTCAGAAATAGCATTAAATTTTGGAATAAATTTAGGTTTGTTCGAATTGGTCACCTTTGGCACGAATTACGGCCTTCAAGCGGCCAATGAAAACGTCACACGCTGCCCGAATGTTGCTCTGCGGTATTTTGGTCCATTCCCGGCGAAGCGCTTGCTTGAGGTGATCGACACTTTGGTATTTTTTAGGGCCAACCTTGCTTTCCAAAATACTCCAGACTCCAGAGGTATGTGGCCAAAATGTTTGCGTATCCAAAGCTTTAATATACCCTGCAAAATATTTTCGCGATAATATTCGGCATTTATTCTGATTCCACGGTTGATTAATACGAGCGGAGAGCGACCATCGGCTGTTATGGCGGCCCACACCATCACCTTGGCCGGCGCGTGAGTTCTGGTGGCCAACGGAAGGGGCACATTTTCAGCTAACCTCTTTGACAAGTAAACACGATCATTTTGTTTGTTTACAAACTGCTGGACAACGAATGTTTTCTCATCGGAGCAGAGAAAACCAAATTCGGCAGTTCACCACTTTCAGCAAGCAAAGCAACTCGTTAGCTCTTTTGAGTCTATTTTCCCTCTGTTGCGTTATTGGAATTTCCATGGCTTTACCCCGAACTCATTGTTCAATATTTGCTGAATGGAATATGGCGATATGTTCAGCATACGAGCCATTTTTCGGCCATTTGCGACGCGGGCTTTTTTACTTTTCGAACCATTTCTGCTGATGTTGCTGTTTTCTTCCATCCACTTCCTTGACGTCTGGATACACTATCAGTATCACGGTACGAGACACAAACGATTTATTACATTTAAATGCTGGAGTGCTCTAACGATAGCCACTTGTGGTTTTCCAGTCAAATATAAAGAAATCACACTATCACGCTTGAATTCCATCACGAATAACTTTTTTTCTGGAAAATTCTCACCGAAATGCTTTTGTACGCTTGTAAACAATATAGTGAGCTGTCACTGGAATAATTTTAACAGCTGTCAGACGAGTGGCTTAGAAATAACAGCAGTCTGAAGTTGGTTGCAGTTTTTTTCATTTCACCCTGTAATACGTTTGCAAAGTTTGAACAAGATAGGATTGACCGTGACTGAAATTTTGACGTTTTGTGTGAAGTGGACCAAGATTGCTCGATCTCCGAACGGATTTAGTCCAAAGGGACCGAGGATCTAGAACCATTATTTTGATGAGGTACGTTTTGGGAATATCAAATGATATTCAGCCTTATGGCTGCAGGTATGAAAAATTCAGCCCTACTTAAACACATACCCAGCACTAATTATACCCTCCGCCCTAAAATGAAGAGTATATTAAATTTGTTTTTCCATTTGCAACACCTCGAAATATTCGTTAAAGACCCCTAAAACTATCCTGATCAGAATAAAATTATAAGGCGACTAAGCGATGTCCGTCTGTCTGCCTCTTGAAATCCCGATAGAGTCCACATAATTTAATCTACTGCCTTTAATTTGTCAAAAAGGTTTATACGTAAGCTGAAATGGGCTATATTGCTCCACGTTTAGGTATAGGCCCGATATAAAGGTGCCTCTAGGTTTTCTGTATTTTGAAGGTTTCTTTGACAATTTCCAACCTCTCGGTTGGTCTGTTTTCTCCTAAATACCATTGTTCTGAATTTAATACCTTTAAGTACCTTTTGTGACCTATTAATCGGGATTATATATATTAATAGTGAGAAACACTTCAAATTTTAGCTTTAGCCCTTGGCAAAGTACTATAGTACGATTTTAAGTACCCTTAAGCTCGAATAAAAAAAATGTCACGTTCACTAAATACCATGGTACAATATTTAGAACCTCTTGGTACTTTTTGATCCCTCTTAGTTTAAAGTTTCCAAAAACCCAGAAAAAGAGAGCCATAAATAAATTTCAACTATTTTTTTTTTATTCCTATTTTCTAAATGGTTTTTTCTTAAAACATGTACACAGAGTCCCAGCATAGGGTCTACCCTCGTACCTCTGCAGTCGATCAACGACGCAATCATTGATACACGACTTCACATTGGAGGCTATGGTGAAATCAAAATGATTATATTTACTGTAGCGTACACGATTCCAGTGATCTCGATCGCCCATCAGACTATGTAAATGTTCTACATCCTCCGGAGGGGCCAAAAAATCATTGTCCGAAAAATAAAATTCAATGGGTTCTTCGGTGCGAATATTTCTAACATCGTAGGGTGGTGGCTTTTTGCTGCCATACTTTGCCATATTTCCTTCGGTTCCAAAATCGAAGGCCTTGAATTCGCACGTTGTGATGAATTGAAAGAAATGGTGACTCTGTTGATTGGAACCATCGGCTGGTGTGGTTATGAGCAGTTCTGGGATGAGGGTCTGTGAAAAAAATCAAAATTACAACAAATATACGCCAGTATATCCCACACCGAACTTACCCTATTCATGTATGGCGAATCGAAGCCGGTAAATGTATTCAAAATCCTCACACACAATTCCGTAACCTGGGGATTTTGACAGAGACCACTGCTTAAGGCCCTTATCAGACCATATGCCCTCTGGCTTGGTAGGGTGGCAAAAAAACTTGTCACCGAACTGGGAGTGCCGAAGTATCTGGCCAACCACAGCACGGGAGGAGAGCGTACGTGGCATAGATATATTGCCGGTGCCAGTAGATGGACAGCCTTTAACTTTTTGGCAAAGTTGGGTTTGGACGAGAGCAGAATCGCCAGGGTGGTGGTGCCCTGTGAGTAACCAATGTAGTTAAGCCGTGGTTGCCCCGTCACTCCAAGAACGTATTCAATTTCGGTTGGCAGATCAATTTGGGCGATTTCATCCAGCGAAAATGCCCAAAACTCCTTAGAGAACGGTGACAGGGAGGTGTGTCTCTGGGAATATACATTGCCACGAGAATTACCTATCCAAACGTCAAAGCCGGCATCGGCCAACATAAAGGGCAGGCCATCATTGGGTCCCACCAAAACGAATATATCCGATGAGCAGAACAAGCAATGCATCAGGAAGACCACAGGTTTAATTTCGCCGCTGGCCAAGCGATTCCCTGCATGGCCATTTGGTATTCGATACAATGCCAAAATATAGCCATCACTTGTTGTGACCGTATGTTCCTCGCAGGGGTAGCCATGCCGGGTGATACGATCACACTGTAAACAAGCAAATGTAAACAAACGTTTTTTTTTTTTAATTTCACATTGTTTTCCGTTTTATTTAAATTTCAATATTTATTTACTGTATTCAAATTAGACTGGCCCTTAACGGTGGTGATAAAAATCTCCGCCAGCAACACGATCAGCACGATTTGTATCTTCATCTTTCAGCAACACCGTTTTGGCACACACTAAATATATAACAAAATCAATCGATCGGAGCTGCGCTGTTCTAAGCAGATAATAAGGTTCGAACCGGCATGCGGCTCCTCACACTAATTAGCCACGATTAGTATTCTTCATATTTAGCCAATTTAATAAGATTGCCACATGCCGTAATTCGCCGCAAAACAACCAAAGCAAACCCCCCTACGCCAGCCAATCACCCCCGCATTACATTACAACCCAGAATGTTTTGCAGTGGCAGCCTCTCCCAACCTCAAAACAGACAAACAAACAAACAGACAAACCGAGAATAAATTTCTCACAATTCATTAAGAACATGTGTTTGCCGGGCTTTAATAGGGTGCATCGAGCTGTAATGTAATTTTGCAAAATCTTTTTTTTTTTTCGAAAACAAAATTCCCAATGAAATGTTTGTTCGGATTTGTGATTGATTTACATTTAAACCAGTTTGATTTTTGGCGATTTGAAACAAAAAAAATTTATAGGCAGATGGCCGGCCTATTCGCTTAGCATCCAAATACCGGTTGAGTGTCAATAAAGTCGTAAATTTTTTTTTAATAAAAATGAAAACAAAAATTTTTTGCAAAACAGAATTGAGCTGGTGGTGTCAATGCCCTACCCTATGTATAGAAATTTATGTAAATTACTTCAATGGTTTATTCATTCATGATAAGGTATATTCTGCACAATGGATTGAATCGCTATTGCTGCGAAATAAATTGTTTTTAGATATATGGGGGATATTTTTAAACTCAATAATATCGAGAAACGTGGATCCATAAACAATTGTATCTACATTTTAAAAATAATATTCATACTATGAATGCCTTAGGAACATTTTTCATGAAATTAATGTTCTAGGATATTTTTTTTTTTAAATTGATCAAATAATAAAAACTGACAAACTATCGACCTATAAATAAGTATATATAATTAATATATTTCTTAAATCAAGAAAAGCTCAAGCGTGGCAATTCTAGGAATATTTTCCATAAACCAGCAATAAATAATGAAAAACAAGTAAAAATACATTAAGTTCGTCCGGGCCGAAATTTTAATATTTTCCAACTTGGTGTAAATACAATATTTTTATGCAAAACTAACCGAACCCAGTGCTCTTCCGAATATGTGTTGGTTTAAAAAAAAAATTGTAATGCTTTAATGCGTAAATATAGAAATATAGGTACAGTTGACCATGAGAAAATCAGGGACATGCCAAATTTAGTCCCCATATACGAAGGGGTTGTCCTTCGGAGCAAACGCCAAGCGTGCATGAAACTGCAATTTTTTGAAGTTGAGTGGCATTTCTGTTGCTATTAAAGATTTTTATGTAGCAACATACTTCCTCGTATTTATTGTTGTGTATTTTTTTACTGTAAGCCTAACACCATTGCGTTGTGGGCCAATGCTTCTTAATTTGACAATATTTACTTTTACACCAAATTCCGTCAGACCTTCCATATTTTATTGAAATTGGTACGTCAAATATGTGAAATCGGTGAGGCCGTCATATGGAGGCCATACCAAAACGGGAACCTCTATAGACAATTGTATACTTCAAGGATTGTCATCTACCAAATTTTCTTAAAATTAAAACAATTTAGTGGCTAAATATGACTAGGACTATCAAAATACCGAATATCGCTAGAACCCACTATGATCTGTAAATGCCAATTTTTAGAGTCCGTGGGAAAATGTAGCGAAAATCATAAAATACCGAGTATCGGGAGGTACCGTTATACGAGGGCTTTACAAAAGAGTTGACCTATACATACAATGTTTCGCCACCTGGGCTAGAAGCCCGACGTCAAGGGAGTGGACGGAAGAAAACAGCAACATCAGCAGAAATGGTTCGAAAAGTAAAGAAGCGACTTGATCGAAACCCGCATCGTAGCGGCCGAAAAATGGCTCGTGAGCTGAATATATCGCAATATTCCATCTGGCAAATATTGAAAAATGAGCATGGAGTAAAGCCACTGACATTCCAAAAGTGCAACAGAAAGAAAATAAACTTAAAAGAGCTAAAGAGTTGCTTCGCTTGACCGAAAGTGGTGAACTGCCGAATTTAGTTTTCTCCGATGAGAAAATATTCGCTGTCCAACAGTTTGTAAACAAACAAAATAATTGTGTTTACTTGCCAAAGAGATCAGCTGAAAATCTGTACTTTCGGTTGGCCACCAGAACTCAAGCGCCGGTCATGGTGATGTTGTGGGCCGCCATAACTGCCGATGGTCGCTCTCCGCTCGTATTAATCGACCGTGGCATCAGAATAAATGCCGAATATTATCGCGAAAATATTCTGTATGGTGTATTAAATCCTTGGGATACCAATCCGTTGGACTATTGTATACTAAAGTGTAGATCACCTCAAGGAAGCGCTTCGCCGTGAATGAGCCAAAATAACGTAGAGCAACATTCGGGCAGCGTGTGACGGTTTCATTGGCCGTTTGAAGGCCATAATTCTTGCCCTAAGATGACAAATTCGAAGAAATCTCAACTTTTTTTCAATAAAATACAAAAATTTGACTTTGTTGCAGTTTTTTTATATCTCAAAAATGAAAAAAAAAATCGTTTTAAAATATTTGGAGTCGATCTATTTATGTCCGTTCATATGGCTAGTTCGTGTCCAAATTTGACATTTGTAAGTAAGGTCGGGTCCAAAAATTTTAAATATTTGTCATCTCGGTTTGTTACCATTTCCAAAAACGAACAATTTTTAATAATACGCCATAAGGCTCACATATCCTACAATTTCTTTTAACATTGCATCTTGAGTAAATCTTCTCTCAAATGGACAACAAAAATAATATCCTTTATTAGAATTAATTTATTTTCCCCCATATTTAACTTATTAAGGGTTTGAAAGTATGGACTCATAAATTGGGTTGCAATTATACATAAATACAGCAGGATCGTACGCAGGGAGGCCTTCCCATGAAAATTATTATTATAATTATTATTTCCCATTTCCTTTCCTTTTGTTTTTTTTTTTTTTTTTTTTTTTTTTGTTAATTTTTCATGGAAAAGTTGTTATTTTGGCTAGTTGAATGACTTATTTATTTCGTAATTTTTTATATTGACATGGATTTAATAAATTATCACTTATTTGATTCCACTGTTACATAATATAAATTTAATTCAAGTTATTAAGATATACATTTATTTCAAATTAAGATTTAAATGGCGCTTTTTATTTGACTGGCAAAAATTATTGAAGCAAACATTTGCGGTTTTTTTGGGCAGCCAGCAAATTGATCAATTTGTTCGTCGATAATATAAATGTATTAACTTACAAAACCACAAATAAATTAACTCTAAATATTAATTACCAATTACCGAAAAAATATTAATTTATTTAAATTTCCGGGACTTAAACATTTATTGCTACCGGTTTTGTTTGCAATGATAAAAAAAATGTTTGTTATATATTTCACGTATTAAAATTAAAATTTTTGGTTCCAATAGCTTAAGACATGATGAATTTGATTTGCAAGTGCTTATAGTGTGTGACCCCAGTTTTACAACCCGTTTTCTCATTACATATCTCCAACATTTTACTAATATCGACATTTTCTTCCGTTTCGCTTGCATACTCAATGAGGAAAAGGTTACAATACCGAATTTCTGTTTTTAAAATCTTATCCGGAAATCTTCTGATTGTTATTATAATTGTATAACGATTCAGAAAAACAAAGGACACGGGAGCAAAAGTTAATAGATTTTTGAATTACTTTTAAATTCGAAATTAAAGAAAAAGAAAAAATTAAGGAAAGGTCAAAAGTCATATATGATACCCTACACCACTATGCGTAGTTAGTATAGCTCCCGCAACAAAAAACATACATTGGGAATTTATGTGAAGTAAATCATGCAAACTATGAACCTTATTTGAATACATATCAGGGCTTTGGAGTAGTCACAATTTGGGATCTATATCCAATTCCGATTTTCAACAAATTTGACGGAGACTTTCGTACCTTTAGTACCAAATAAAATTGCTGTATAGTGCACGGTATGACTTCGATAAGAATTATATAGAGTTTCACCAAATGGAAAAATTCGGTTGAATATGAAAAAATCTATCCAATTTGGGCTGAAATTACGTATACAGGGTGAGATGAAAAAACTGAAACCAACTTCAGACTGCTGCCATTTCCAAGATACTCGCCCGGCAACTGTTAAAATTATTCCAGTGACAGCTCATTATATTGTTTACAAGCGTAGAAAAGCATTTTGGGGAGAATTTTCCAGAAAAAAAGTTATTCGTAATGAAACTCATGCGTGATAGTGTGATTTCTTTATATTTGGCTGAAAAACCAGCTGGAGCACTCCAACATTAAAATATGAATAAATATTTTGTGTCTCGTACCATCGCTCGTTACCGTGATACTGGTAGCGTAGCCATTCGTCAAGGAAGTGGGCGGAAGAAAACAGCAACATCAGCAGAAATGGTTCGAAAATTAAAGAAGCGTCTTGATCAAAACCCGCAACGCAATGACCGAAAAATGGCTCGTGAGCTGAACATATCGCAAAATTCCAATCGGCAAATAGTGAAAAATGAGCTCGGGGTAAAACCATTGAAATACCAAAAAGTGTAAGAACTTACACCGCAACAGAAAGAAAATAGAGACAAAAGATCTACCGATTTGCTTCGCTTGGCCTTGGTGAACTGCCGAATTTGGGTTTCTCCGATGAGAATACATCGTTGTCCAGCAGTTTTTACTTGCTGAAAATGTGCACCTTCGATCGTGGCATCAGAATAAATGCCGAATATTACCGCGAAAATATTCTGGAGGGTGCATTAAAGCCTTGGGCACGCAAACATTTTGGCCGCAGACCTTGGACATACCAACACGACTCAGCACCATCGCACTCAGCACGCGCTACCCAAGAATGGTTACAAATTTAGGAAACTTGCTTCATTTCCAGCGCACAATGGCCCCCAAAATCACCGGATACCAATCCGTTGGACTATTGTGTCTGGAGTATTTTGGAAAGCAAGGTCGGCACCAAAAAATACCAAAGTGTCGATCACCTCAAGCATGCGCTTCGTCGGGAATGGGCCAAAATACCG